AATAGGGGGGTGACATTAGCTTCTTTCCAGTCCTTTGGTACTCTGCCCTGGTTAAGCGATGCCTGAAAGAGTATTTTGAACACTGGGGCTAGCTCATTGCTTAGTTCTTTGAGTAATCTAGCTGGAATACCATCAGGTCCAGACGCTTTATTTGGTTTGGTGTTGGCTAATAGTTTTTGAATTCCATTTTCTTGTACTACTATATCTTCTATGTTGTCTACTTGGTTCAAATTAAGAAATATGTCTTTGTCTCCTGGGGCTGAGAATGCTGATGCAAAGTATTTGTTTAGGATGTTTGCTTTAGTTTCATTATCATTATGTATTATGTTATGTTCATCTTTTAATGGCGCTATGCCTGTTGTTTCCATTTTCTTAGACTTAATGTATGACCATAGGTTTTTGTTGTTATCTTGTTATCGGTGTAGGCTACTTTTGTATTAGCACATCGTTGAGTTTATGGAGCCAAGATAACAGAAATTAGCATTTAATCATGTGCAAGAAATCAAGCATCAGACTTTTTAGTTTCATACTGAGTCCAACATTAATAAAAGTGTCCCGTCTTAGCCTTCAATCAAATACAAGACAGAAAATAACGAATAATATAAAAAAAAAGATGTGTAAGTAAAACGTCAGGCTTAGAACCACTGAGTTCACATAAGGATCCTTACATTTACAGTATAACGGGCCTGGTCATTTCGTAGCCACCAACAAACCATCCAGAGCAGTGAATAAATATTTCTCGACTACAGGATATGTAAAGAATCAATAAGAGAACAATGTTTCTAAAAAAATAAAAATAAAAACAAGTGACTTAATCATAACATTCAATAAAATGTCTTCTACCTCTCTTGATCAAGAATCAAAAAGGACCAAGATGGTTGTGTGTAGTTGCTGAATGAACTCTCTATGCTGTGTCTGTTTTATTTATGTGAATGTTTCTGTTGTGTTGTTTTAATGTGAGAAAACAGTCCTTGTAATCACAACAAATTTCCATAAGGATCAATAAAGCAGTCTTAAGTGATATAGTGACATCATTAAATGTTCTCTTATATTTTCTGTACTGAACAATTTTATAGATGAATTGTGAAGATTGATTTGATACAGATAGTTAAAAATACGGTGGATATCAAACCGTGAGGTGAGATTTAAAACAAATTAAACTAAATGACTAGTAGAACTTATTCTTCAGTGATAAAATATAATCCTATAACAATGTAGACTCCTATAGATCGTTCCAACCATAGCTAATGCCAAGGTTTTCATCGCATTTCTAAGAGATGAACCAAATTATCTTTGCGACTGAACGCCCTAGATAAAACATTATCTAAAGATATTGGAATAAATAAGAAAATTAGCTTACTTTCTAATTAGGACACTTTTTCATAGATATAGGCTAGAAAAATCAACAGTTATTGAAACTTGATTAAAACTTGCCTGACCAGTAGAAGTAAGCTCCTTGCTTGTTATCTTGTATTTTAAAAATAGTAACAGCTGTTTATTGAACAAGAATCCTGTGAATTAATTGTGCTTCTAACCTTAAGTATGGATCGTTTTCTAAGACCTGAAAGATTGGTGGTGGATCCAAATGGTCCGGACGCTCAAAGGATCTGGAAGCACTGGCTTCACACATTTGAAAAATTCGCATTAAAACTAGCTGTATCAGAAGGTGAGAAGTTCGATCTACTATGTAACTTCATCTCACATTCTGTGTACGAATTGATATCTGACTGTACTGACTTCAAAACAGCTGTAAACACATTAAACGGACTCTATGTCAAACAAACCAATGAGGTTTATGCTCGCTATCTCCTATCCAATTGTAAACAGGAAACAGGACAGAGTGTTGACAGGTATATTCAAAGATTGAGATTGCTGGCTAAAGACTGCCATTTCAGAGCAGTCACGAATTGATATCTGACTGTACTGACTTCAAAACAGCTGTAAACACATTAAACGGACTCTATGTCAAACAAACCAATGAGGTTTATGCTCGCTATCTCCTATCCAATTGTAAACAGGAAACAGGACAGAGTGTTGACAGGTATATTCAAAGATTGAGATTGCTGGCTAAAGACTGCCATTTCAGAGCAGTCACGAATTGATATCTGACTGTACTGACTTCAAAACAGCTGTAAACACATTAAACGGACTCTATGTCAAACAAACCAATGAGGTTTATGCTCGCTATCTCCTATCCAATTGTAAACAGGAAACAGGACAGAGTGTTGACAGGTATATTCAAAGATTGAGATTGCTGGCTAAAGACTGCCATTTCAGAGCAGTCACGAATTGATATCTGACTGTACTGACTTCAAAACAGCTGTAAACACATTAAACGGACTCTATGTCAAACAAACCAATGAGGTTTATGCTCGCTATCTCCTATCCAATTGTAAACAGGAAACAGGACAGAGTGTTGACAGGTATATTCAAAGATTGAGATTGCTGGCTAAAGACTGCCATTTCAGAGCAGTCACGAATTGATATCTGACTGTACTGACTTCAAAACAGCTGTAAACACATTAAACGGACTCTATGTCAAACAAACCAATGAGGTTTATGCTCGCTATCTCCTATCCAATTGTAAACAGGAAACAGGACAGAGTGTTGACAGGTATATTCAAAGATTGAGATTGCTGGCTAAAGACTGCCATTTCAGAGCAGTCACGAATTGATATCTGACTGTACTGACTTCAAAACAGCTGTAAACACATTAAACGGACTCTATGTCAAACAAACCAATGAGGTTTATGCTCGCTATCTCCTATCCAATTGTAAACAGGAAACAGGACAGAGTGTTGACAGGTATATTCAAAGATTGAGATTGCTGGCTAAAGACTGCCATTTCAGAGCAGTCACGAATTGATATCTGACTGTACTGACTTCAAAACAGCTGTAAACACATTAAACGGACTCTATGTCAAACAAACCAATGAGGTTTATGCTCGCTATCTCCTATCCAATTGTAAACAGGAAACAGGACAGAGTGTTGACAGGTATATTCAAAGATTGAGATTGCTGGCTAAAGACTGCCATTTCAGAGCAGTCACGAATTGATATCTGACTGTACTGACTTCAAAACAGCTGTAAACACATTAAACGGACTCTATGTCAAACAAACCAATGAGGTTTATGCTCGCTATCTCCTATCCAATTGTAAACAGGAAACAGGACAGAGTGTTGACAGGTATATTCAAAGATTGAGATTGCTGGCTAAAGACTGCCATTTCAGAGCAGTCACGAATTGATATCTGACTGTACTGACTTCAAAACAGCTGTAAACACATTAAACGGACTCTATGTCAAACAAACCAATGAGGTTTATGCTCGCTATCTCCTATCCAATTGTAAACAGGAAACAGGACAGAGTGTTGACAGGTATATTCAAAGATTGAGATTGCTGGCTAAAGACTGCCATTTCAGAGCAGTCACTGCCCTCGAAAACCAGAACGGGGCCATCAGAGACGCATTCATTAGTGGCATGTAATCACCAGAGATTAGGCAGAGACTTTTATAGTACTCATCTCTGGACCTCGCAAAGTCATTGGAGGTAGCTAGATCTCTTGAGATGGCACAGAAACATTCTGTGACATATAACTCCCAACACGCCACTACTTTTCAAACACCACAAGCACAACAATCCACTGGTAGATGAAGTGGAGCTTATTTGCTTTGCCTTGCATGTCTTCTCATCAGGACAGGCCCTGGAACAGATAGCCAGGTCGGCAGAGAGACACCACAGGCAGACCTTCTTTTATAGGAAAATAGTCATTTAGGGCTAGCTCCCATTCTATTAGATCTCTACTATGCACTGCTACAAACATGACGCCTCACGAAAGACTATTTTCCTATAAAACTTCATCTTCCCGCTGGTAGATGAAGTGGAGCTTATTGAAGCTAATCAGAACTATGCGCACATACGTCTTCCAAATGGACGGGAAGAAACTGTCTCACTACACCATTTGGCTCCGAGAGGCGACTCATCTTCAGAGGCCGTAGTACATGATTTCGCTCCAAGAGACATCTTCTGAAGTCTTTCAACATCAACTGGCTCCTGGTAACACTGAGATTTCTCCGGGTGTCTCCCAACACTCAGTGGCTTCTAGGGGTGACATAGAGACATGTGTAGAGAACATGGTTCCACCTGCTTTAAGAGCAGAAGAAAACATTATTGAAAATGGACAAAATTCACCTGCCAGAGATACGCCCTTACAGCACTCGTATAATCTCAGAAGTAGAGCGAAAAGAAACTAAACGGGGGGTGAATGTTGTGTATTTATGTTTCCTGTTGTGTATTGTGAACTGATCTGTTCTAGTGTGTCAAAATGTCATGGTGTCCAGGTCAGCTTGTGTGTGTGTGTGTACTGTGTTATTGTGAACTGTTTTGTCATTCTTGTTCAATAAAGCCTAGCTTCAAGACATGTCTTCCTGTAGTGTTTTATTAGGTCACTACATGTTATTATTGAGAGGTTGTTCATTGTTCATTACCTTTTTTTTCATTTGATAACAAAACATTTGTATGTGTATAGAATTCGTACTATCAATAAAAACTTGATTACTCCCAAAATAGATTAAATCATAGAAATTCATCTGGTTAAGTAGCATACAAATGAAATGCTATTTCAACTTAGTCTAGTTTAATCATTTGTAATACTAAAGGTGTCAAATTATAAGATGTTGATCTACAATACAGACTACATTATAGATTTCACCAGGAATTATTGTCTTCAAACCTAAAGATGAAATCTTCTGGACAGCTCAATGGTGTATCCAAAAGCATTGGAACTAGATCTTCTGAACAAGTAAAACAAAAACCGGCTCGGTGTCCCATCTAACTCTAAATGATATTTGTATAGTTTGTATTTTATTTCTCATAAAACCTAGGAAGTGAGATTTTAACTGATAACAACTTATGAGATTCTCAACTTAAAAAAAAACTTTGTTATATTATCTTATTAAAATTGATTTTAAAATGTGTTTTAAAAAAATCAAAACAATTAAGAAAATTCAAGTCTTTATTCTCTTTTCATGCTATCAAAATTTACTGATGGAAAATCAGAATATAGTTTTTTACAAAAGTATTGCTTCATTTAGTTAAAATCTTTTATTTTTTTAAATAACATTTCAAAACTTTTAAGTCTTCATAAAAATGACTAATGATTTATAGGAGCTATCTGAAACATGATGACTTTTGAACTATAGAAATAATACACTAAGCATGATAAATATTGGCAACAAATTGTATGAGTCACTTTGTGACAGTAAATTAAAGTTAACAAAAAACATTAACTCAAAATCTCCAATACAACAAAACAAAGTAATAAAGTGTCTAGCAAGAAATAAAAAAGTTTTGACAGAAAATAAAAGGCACAGAACAAAATGATCATATGATGAACTGATTTCTTTTACGAATGTCTCTTTCTATTAAAACATAATTATTAATTAGATTATTATTTAATTTTATATATAGCTAGAAGGTTTAAAACAAAATGGTGCTCAAACTAGACTTCATAATTTTAAGAAGAGAAAACACATGTTCTAGAAGCTAAAAATAGGAACTAGTGAGATCTCATCTATTGAAATATCAGCAGAGAATGCCAAGCATGTCCTTCAAAGCTGCATGCTCTATCAAGAGGACGAAAAAATCACTGGCCCCAAAATTCCCCTATAAAACAAAAATTATAAGGAGAGCTGCCAGATCTAGAAACCCTGTGTAGTTCATCACAGATATAGGACTGCTTGTCTGAACCCTCTGACATATACATGAGAATGAAAAAGAAGTAGATAACTTCAAGAAAAATACTGACTCAAACAACTTAATGTGAAATGAAAAATTTCTTTTTTCTAGATTTATTTTCCACTTTTCTTCAGTTTTAATCTTGGTATTAGCTTATTATTTTAAACTTGTGCATTAAGTTCTGTTTTATTTGTTAAGCTTTTAAAAATGCCTTGAGGTTATAAAAGATTTAGCATGTTGTTTTTTTTTATATGTTCTTTTAAGACTCTACATTTTTAAATTTACAATTTATTTGCTCTAAAAGTAAAACTTTCTAGCCAGATTTTATATTGCACTGATCTCATTCTTAATTTTATCCAACAAGGCAAGTTTCCATAATCTCATAACCCTTCCTCTCTTACAGTCCTAGCTCTAGCTAATACCCAGGACATTATCTTCAATTATGTAAAGGCATTTTAATTAAAAAAAAAATAAATGAAAATATCTTAATTATAAATATACTCTATAACAAAGGGAGCCTAACTGATTGATACAAAATGTCATTAATAATTATTTGAATTTTTTTTTTAGATCATTCTATTTGTTGTCCAAATCTGTAACAAGGAAGATGAATAAACTATAAAAAAAAATCAAATCTAATTTAATTATGAAATGTATCTAGATCTATAAAGAACACATTTGTTTTTACAATTCACAAGTACTAAGGCTAATTCATCATCATATGTTGCTGTTTTATTTTTGCATTTAAGCTTCAGTATTAGCTTTTATTGTAAAACACTAATAAAACATAATGCATAAACATTTGGTTTGAACTGATCTGAAAGAAGGCTCAATGACTATTCATTAAATATGAAAATTAGTATTGAAATTGTATCAAATGATCTGAAAAATATTGCTAGCCAATATGATAGTATACACAAAAAGAAGTTTGTTCAATTCATTTAAAAATGGAACAAAAATTACAAATATTGCTAAATATTTATTATTATGAAAAAATTTTGTATCCAAAAAAAAAAAATATTAAAAATATGAGTTTTTCTTTTCTTTATACAAATGATAGTTAATAATGCCAAATATGATGATTTCTGGTGTTAAAGACTAAAAACTGGTTTCTTTTTACTTTTCATTTACGAAAGTAAAAATATGTTTTTACAAAAAGCAGTAAATGTGTTGTTTAAAAAAAAAGATTTTTTTGTGAATGGAACTGAAACAAAAAAAAAATAAACTGAGAAACTGATCTTTAGATTTCAATAAATGTATAACCTGTGAATATAATTTTTATAAATATTATAGAGTCATACCAAATTTTTCAATATTACATATCGATTCTGAAAAATGTAAAAAAGGTAAACAATTAATTATAAAGATATTAACCAAAATGATCACAACGAAAATATCACATGACTATTTGTCCTCACACATACACCCAAATAGTGCCTCCCAGTACAAATAAATTCACAAAAATGTTAGTTCTTACAAAAAAAAAAGACATATTCTTTTGACATAAAAAGTACACATTTACAAGTCACAATCTACAAACTGCCATTCATTATGTACTCACACAAATATAAATAAAATATTCAATGTCTGTACATTCACTTGTTCCATATTCTTAAATATCACTTTTTATTTAGTGGTATGATACTACTATGTATTGATATAATTTTTTCAATTGATAAAGTTGAATTGTAGATTGGTATCTAGCAACTCATTACTATTATTTTTTTAATACTTAATTGTCCCTAAAATATGATAGTAAGATATTATCAGCAGAGATTCAGCTGTAAATGTGATCATAGCAAAGTTTAGAACAGTAGGATCTATAGACACAATACTGCAAGAATTTCAATAGCTTATTAATTTTATGAAAAAAAAAAAATCTAGTTTCACCATTTTTTTAATTTGAAATTATGGAAGCAATGCCATAGTGTTTAAACAGTTCTGTGAGATGTAAATACAAGGGAAGTAGCTCTGTCATTGTTCCTGACAGTTTAAATTAAAACAAGGAAAAAACAAGATCTTCTAATGAACTAAATTCAAATCAGGGTACAATTATTAGTGGTATATATATCCTGTATACACCGGTATATAATATTTTCTGTTTTTTAAGGATACTATACCTAGGTATTTTAGAATTAGGACTAAGTATGATGCAGGGTATTTTTTCATTTTTTAAACTAATTATTGATTTATCTTGTTTGTTGATCTGTCATCCCAAATGTGAAAACCATTTTTAATTTTTTTGAAGGCAATTTAAAGACAGACATATTCTTGTTCCAAAGTAGTTTCACAAAATTCATAATATAGGTTTAATAAGTAATGACTGGGATTAATTGTAAGATGACATCACCTTAGATAGAGTGCTGTGAGAACCAATGATATCTCAGAATTATTGTGACATTGCTAATATAAATGATTTTTTAAAAAGTAACCAAAATAATACACCAACTATAATGATTTGTTTAACATTCTAACAGTTTCATAATCATAAACATGATCTTAAACTCTCTTAAGCTTTTAACTAACTGCCTAGCTGTTGTATGCACTAACCTATTACCCAAATTTATGAAATATTGTAACTACTTTCAAAAGAGAACAGCAGTTGTTGTTTGTTTGTTTATTCTACTGTGCAATAATATCATAAATTGAATTGGGAAAAAATGTAAAACAATAAATTACTATAATAATCTTAATTTCAAATGTACTTTCTTAGAAATACAGAAATTAATTAATTCAAAAATTTATTCTGAAAATTAAAACTTTCAAATACAAATAACAACATCCTTTTATTTGTACTAAATTACGTCAGAACTAATTAAACTGAAAAATTCAATTATCAAATTTAACAGACATTCAGATTCATGTATCTCCTAAATATGTGGTGCTTGGTTATTTTAAGTTTCTAATTCAAGTTACAAAAATATATATACAATATTTAAGTCACTTATTATGTAGAACGTCTATTTCTGTATTGATGATGTTCTTGAATATTCAAAAGTTTCTTTTAGTGGTACAATCAAACATTATCAAAGTTTCCTTTGTCTATTTTTATAATCAATCTATTCTAGTTTGTAAAACAATTATTAACCATAAAAAAAAATGCTTTGCTTGAAACAGAAAATGTTAATTCTAGTGATAAAAATCCACTTAGTATACATCCATTTATCCATTGCAAGAAATGTCTTCACTTATTCATTGACTCTTAGTGACACACTTTAAAAGTAGGAAACAAGGTGACCTGTATATCTTGGTAGATCTTGGTCTGTTAATCTATGTTTGAAAAAAGAAACAACAACTGAAGAATTCACCTCCATGTCATTTATACCAATTAGAAAGTAGAAAACTTGAAATTATACAAAAATGTTCATTGACAAGTAATTTGAACTGAATGTAATTAATGATTCATTCTGTGTTGAGTGATTCAGCCTCTATTTAGTGAGTCAATTCATTAGTGTAAATGTTCACTACATTGTAGTTTCAGTCACTGAACTATATTCTCAGTAACATTAAAAGTCATCTCCATGAAGTAACAGAAGAAACACATCTTTACAAGTTGAGTTCTAGTCTGCGCTCTAGCCAATGATTAATGCTTGTAGACTTCATCAATAGAAGAAACTTCTGAGCAGTCTGTAGATGTCAGATTTTCTCCACCCTAAACAAAGAAACAAAAAGAGATAAAATTTAATTAGTTTAGAATATACATTATATCATAAGAAGGTGTCAAACAGAATGTAGATTTATCAAATAAAAAAAATGACTATTGAATGTAATATGTCACTTAAAAATAGTGAAGGTTTCAAAGTTAGAAATAGCTTATTATATGAATTAGTGGTGCCATATAAACACTAGTGTCATGTGTGGAACTGTTACATTGAACAGGGAAAAATGTGATGCGGACAGATGAAAGATGTAATAAAAATCAAACTGTTTTGAGTGTGACTAAACAGAACATTTCTGTAAGATCAAAAGTCTCCAAATGGATAAAATTGTAGGATGTGATGATGTCAACTTAGATAACATTGCAGGATGTGAAGTTGTCAACATAGTCAAACTTGTAAGATGTGAAGTTGTCAACTTAGATAACATTGTAGGATGTGAAGTTGTCAACTAAGATAACATTGTAGGATGTGAAGTTGTCAACTAAGATAACATTGTAGGATGTGAAGATGTCAACTTAGATAACATTGTAGGATGTTAAGTTGTCAACTTTGACATTTTAGGATATAAGCTTCTGTAGTACCAAGGGTATTGCATGTGGTGTAAAAAAGAAAAACTCATCATTCCATATTTACTCCTTGCTGTGTATTCCCTAGGGTTAGTTTAGCCTCAAACTAACTTCAGTTATGGCTCTTCGAGAAGCTTAAGGAGACAGTATCCTGATCTAGTTGAGATTAAATGAACTTTTAACTGATAGGGCTTTTCCAAAATAGAAGTTCCAGAAAAACAAATCTCTCAAGCCTGGCCATTGGGAGTTTATTATTTCATTGGTGGGCCAAAATGAACTTTGTTCTGACCCGTTTTAGACACTACAAAGAATGTGAGTAGAAAATAAGTTACACATTGTAGGCTGTACAGCTGTCACTGTGGACAGGAATGTAATACATTTTATATAAAGCTGAACACATATAATTATTTACCTTCTCAATCTTCTCATCCAACATTTTAAAGAACTCTATCTGACTACTTGTTACACTGAAAAAAAAAAAAGAATACATATATGTAACGTATTTAGTCTTTAATTTAACCAGGAGTTTATCATTATGTACCAGTAAAAGAACATCATTTTAATGTTTGTAATAATCACTTTTATCAGCTAGGAATTTTTGTAACATTTTAAAGATTATATAAGATTTTTAAAAAAATGTTTAATCTAAAATCAAATGAAGAGAAATGTTTAGCGAAGGCATTAATACATTTTAGATTGATTATACAATCAATAAAATCAATGCATCAAAAAAATAATATCTGATCTGCTCAATCAGATCACATGAACTGTATATGGGGCTATATGTTATAATTAAAAGTGTAAACTTACTGAATTATTTTAGATGCAGTTAAAGACTTGAAATCTCTCATGGTTCCCTTTGTTGTCGGCTCCTGGAAAATACATACATTTATGTAGACCTTTTCTAAGCTTGCATTCACAAATAATTCAAACTATATAGGTCAAGTTCATAAAACAATATGGGGACAAGACTTGATGCATTTAGTAGGTTAAGAAAAAGGATTTCAAAAGGTATGCAATGACTAGCCAGCTATTTCTGGCACATGACCTTTATGGGATAAATAAGAAAAAGTAGTGATGGCCTCATATGCTCCAGTAAACTATCAGCCATGAGGAGTGAAGGTACCTAATTGTTTATATAGTTATGCTATCTAGAAGGTTTTTAATTGAATTAGTTATAACAGAGCTTGAGCTTTAAGTTGTTGTTTCTATTATTTCCATTATTAATAAATAATATAATTAAAATATTTAATTCTATTAGACACTTTTTTATGAATATGTGTCAAGTTAAAAGAAAATCCTTTTTATAAAAAAAATCTAAGAAAAAAATACCAAATAAAGGAACAATAATTATATGATCTACATTTATTTCCTAATCTATAAAAAAAAGATATTCTTTTTATAATCTATAATTATTTTAGATATAAGAAAACACAAATTTGGAAATCTAAAAAGGAAATTATTTTTACCCTGAAAATGTGAAGAAAAAAAACTTTTAACAACCCAACATTGTATAAGCTGGTTTTTTGTTTTTTTTACTACAATTTTTTTGTTTAATTACCGGTTTAGCCATTTCATTGGGTACTTCCAGTAAGAAGGTTTTGTTTTGTAGCTTTGTAGCACCATTGGTTTTGTCCCCACTTCCAGTAGAGGCAGAGCCTGCAGCAGTTTTTGGTGAAGAACTTAATGGCACACCAATGTCCTCATTTCTTTCTTTCAACTTTGAAGACTTGCCATTATAGATTTTCTTGAAAGAGTTGGATCTCTCTGGGGACAATTGGTTTTTTAAATAAATTCATTATATAAAAGAAAACGTGAATTAATTAGTAATGTAAAACTCATACATATTGAACATAAATGAAAAGCAGCACCAAGTTTTTTCTTTAAATGAGAGAAAGTAGAGAATTAAATGTGATGAAAATAAGGGGCCATGTCGACCATGGCCCGCAGTGTTACTGGTTCAGGCGCCGGTTGGCACCCACCCAATGTTGGATCAAGTTGAAATTTTGCACAATTATTTCTTGTACCTGACCAAAAAAAATCAATAAAAATTAAATAACCAATTAGTTGATTGGTAACTAATTATTATGTTTGGTATCAAACAAGGGAAAAAATAAAACTTCACATGTGGTGTTTAGTCCCTTTGAGGAGGCTTGAGCCCTAGGTGAACAAGTTTTTTTTATGCATTTACAAAGCGATCGCGGTAAAATTCACGCAGATAATACCTTCTTTCCTCCCTAGCCAGCAAAGTGTTCAGTTAAATATTCAGAATG